TGTGTGAGGCAGCGGAAAAGTGGAGGAAAAACAGGAAAACTCCCTTAGGCTAGGCGATGAGCTGAGATGCTCAGATGTCTGACGCTCCGAATGCCCGAGTATGGGAATATGGGTTAGGCGGCAAATTGATTTGATTAGGCCACCATTTGTGCCATCGATAAACGATTTCGAATCGATCCCGGAAATGCGATTAGGATTTGAATATGTCTCCTCAAATGAATGCACTTTGTTTGCATTTGCATTAGGTAGTGCACTTGCTAGCCTTGTTAATTAAAGAGCCCGCCGCCGCCAAGTGATAACAGGTTTTCAATCAGCAAAGCTTAGTGTTCTGTTCACTGGGCAGCACTGCAATTTCCGAAAAATACTCTCCAGGGATCCTTGATTGTAGCGCCTAACCGCTTCTAATTCCTTAATACGTTCATTATACCAAATAACCAGTTCCAAAGCCTATTTCTCGGCGCCAGCATTGTGTTTCGAAACACGAATCCCTAGGGGTTTTCGAAACACCCTTGAATATTTGCCATGCAAAACAGTGACTCGCTTTCATGGAATCCTGTTGAAGCTGTCATTTTGTGGGGTGCACACACACTGTACACTCGTAGCTGCTTGATGGGTTTTTGAAATATTTCAATATTTTAGTACATGACCAATTAAATGAGTTGGCCAAGAAGTCGATGAACTTCAAATGGATGCCACGCTTTGTAATGCATGTGGATCGATTCCTTGGCGAGTTAATTGAATCATTGATGGCAGCTATTCCGAGTTGCTTTCCTTTTTGAAAAGGCATTATCCGGATTTTGGGTACATGCGCATGCAAATTTCGTGATCTAGATTCCGAGTGCATGTGTCATTGTTCGTGGGCCCCAAAGTGAATCCGACAAATTCATCTTAAATGTGTATTTATTCCACGGGACCTTCCTGCACTTCTCGCCCCATTTCTTTTCTCGTTTCGTTCGCTTCAGTTGGCTTTTCTTTTTCGCTTTTTCGCTTTTTTCTTATTTCTTTTTTTCCATTTTCCCCTGGGAGGTCGAGCTGTGTTGTTCTTGTTCTTGTTGTTGTTGCTGGGCTCGAGTGGCTCGATTTGTTTTCAAATTGAAATGGTAAAAAGATTGATGTAATTATTGCCACCCTTAAATGATGTTGGGAGCGACAAATTCAATGAGTTCTCCTCGTATTCCACATTCGATGGCGTATTGTTAGATTTTCGTGTGTTTGTTTTACAAGAATTGTGAACATTTCCCCGCGTTCTCTCCACACTTCATTTCTGTATCGCCTGGTTCCCAACATCTACACAGCAAAAACGAACTGAACACCAAGTGAAAACCAACTGAAACCCAACTGAAACCAACTGAAACCCAACTGAAACCAACTGAAACCCAACTGAAAACCTACCATTGCAGAGAAAGCGAGTCAGTAGCTTGGGGATAGATTGCTTTCACCTGGGGGATGGATGAAAAAATGCAGGTATTACACTAAAATCCCTCGACAACTCGATGAAATTATTTGGCTCTGTGTACACCTTTTCCCACTTTTCGAGTTTATTTCCATTTGTGAGTCTCCTCGCAACGCTTCCTTCCCTTTTTTTCGCTGCTGTGTCGGCCTTTTTATCTTTTGTAAAACGAGTTCTTTAAACCCAAAACAGAATTCAAGACACGTCAAATTGATTTTCATCTATTTCATTTGCAACATGAGGAAAAGTAAGGCGAGTTACAGGGAAGCGTGTTGCTGGAAGTTAGCCACCATCCCATACCATCCCATACCATCCCATACCATCCCATACCATCCCATACCATCCCATACCATCCCATACCATACCATACCATCCCATACCAACCTATGCCATCCTAAACCATCCCATACCATCCCATACCATCCCATACCATCCTATACCATCCCGATTTTCCATCCATCTCGTATGTTTTTATGGGTTGTGCCTGGTTTGCATGGCTCCCAAGCAAGTGGGCGGGGTCACCATGGAATCAATCAGCGCGATATAGGGAAATGGCGAACAGCCATATCTTGTTATCTTGGTAAAACCAAAGGATTATTGGCATTAGCCTCGTCGCGCAAGTATATGAGCACTTCTTAGCCAGGATCTTGCTGTTTTGGGTAAATGTATTCCGTGTTTGGTGTCTACTGCTGGTGTCCCTGAGTCGCCTCCACTTGCTCTCCACTGCCATGGCGCTGGTTTTCCTGTCAAACACCGTATCCTTCGTACTGAAGTACAGTGAGGCTTGCTGCTACAATCAACCGCATTTGTTATGGGGCACTTTCGACGTTATTGAAACTCCTGGCTTATCAGCATTACGCATTGAGTTGAGCACCTGCACTCTCTTACACGACCTTTGCGTTATCCCACACAGGCAGTCCTTACTGTAGCGTACTGTTCTTGGCTTTATGGCCATTCCCCTCCGTCTTCTTGTTGCGCCTCTTGATGTGGCTGTTGCTTTTGGTTTTTGCTGCCTGGAACGTGCGAACGGAAGATTTTGGTGGCAACTCCCATGGCAACTTGTTGTTGGCCTTAGTCTGCCAACATTACCCACACACACACTCACCGATGTGTGTGTGTGTGTGTGCGTGTGTTTGTGTGTGTGTATCCATTGCGAGGTTGGTGTTTTTGTTCTCATCTTTCAGCTGTTCAAAGATTGTTAAATATCAAAGGCGAACCTCAACGGGGAACTCTGTTTTCCTTGTTTCCTATTGAAGATAAAGCTGAATTTGTTTACTTATCCGTCTGGCGGTTGGGGCAATACATGCGCATCTCTAGAGGATGAGGATGCGGATGAGGATGAGACTGGGGATGTCGATTTGGTACTCGCTTGGAACCTGGCGGCTTTTACTGGTGGGTCGAACAAAGTAAAAAAAAAACCCAAAGACAGTGGAGCTGGGAATTCAGTCGAGGGCCGCAAGGGTACAATGGCAGACAGCCTCTAATTGCTTTCTTCGGCAACCTAATACGCGTTGACCATTTGGCTAATAAAATTATTTGCAATTTCAGCCCTGGACTGGGGTCGGTAAATCAAAGAGTCAAATGGCTTCTTAGCCAGCAGCGAAATGGGACACTGCCCAGTCCTAGTGTAGGAAGTGTAGAAATCGATGTGTCACCATATGGCTAACCCAATACTGACTCCTTGGTCCCTTTAGACTCGGGTTCCTCTTGCCATTTCCTTATCGTCATACGGGCATCATCATTCATGCGGCCGAGAGTCAAACTTTTCCCTGGAGTCCTGAAAACGAGCGCCTTATCGCTGGCACGCCCACATGCGGCAAAAACACATTTCAATTGCGCTTGAAAGGGATCTGCTTGAGATGTACTATGTAATTAATTCCTGAACCCAACTCCCAATGTAATCAAAGCAATACTTTTGGATCTATGGCTGCTGATTCTACAACTAAGAAAGTGTGTGTGTGTGGATAGAGAAACCATAAAGCGAATAGAATGAAAAATGGGTACGCTTGTGGAAGAGGCAGGTGTGCGGCACAGAGATTCGAGTGAACTATTCCCAGGACCCTGTTTTCATCTAGCTCACCTTTATGGTGTTCTTGTCTCGCACTTCTCCTAACTGAAATCTCCACTAAGTTGAACATAATTGAGTGGCATCCGAGTTTGGCGACCAAACTTCACGCAATTTCATAGCCGTAACACAAACTTTGTACATTCTTCACTGGACTTTCTTCGCAACTTTCGGGACTTCCTTTTCCTTTTAGCGGGAATTACTTGCAGAAGGTTAATATTTGATAGGAACTAATTGTTTTCCGGCTAAAGATCAAAAGCGGCTGTTAGTGGCAGATTCAAGGCATTAGCGAGCACATTTAAAGTAAGCGTTGAATGAGCAACCTACAGCCTACAACCCACAACCAACATGCCTAAATGGCACGAAATCAAGGTCCTTTATTGGCCCGGTGAATATATGTATATTTGCGGACCCAGACTAGTGGCAGATGGTTCATCGAATTACAGAAGTTCGTTGGTATTTAGTAATGAACCTTTAATAGCGAGCCAAAAGGACGCTGAACGCATAGCCTGCACATAAATCGAATTGCCTCGAGGAACTGCGGAGGGGACGGGGGTTGAAGCGATACATAATCGGTAGGTGGTGGAGTTGGTGGGGGGAGGTTTACAAGTACACAGGGCGCCCCTATACGAACAGACGGCACAGACGATGGAGGAAGGGTCTGTGGCAGGGGGTGGAGGGTGGAGGGTCGGAACAGACGTTGCAGGTCTCGTTTCCAAGTTTCTGCAGGAAGAGAGATACAAACAAAGCCGGTCAGCCGGCACACACATACACAGATACAAACGCACACTAACAGATACAAACGCACACTGCGAAGAGCCCTTGCTGCTCTTTCCGTTGCCTTAAAGAGCACGAACACAAGCGCAACATTTGCTCTCGTCTCGTGGAAAATGAGATACGATAAACGAAACTTTTCACCAGAGTGTGCCTAACAAAAATCCCAGCAGCACGCACTTTTTTACACCATTTTTTTGTACACTTCTTGCCCACCCAATCAGGGATTTGGAAGATGTTGACCCTGTGCGGCTACTGAACTGCCTTCAAGCTGCGACCCTTGAAAATCCTTGGCCCCATCCACCCACAAACCAAACCGAAATTGAGGGGCCAAGGATTTGATTTGCCCCAAAGCTATGCGATGTGTGGGGAAACTGGGAAACTGATGGGGGTAAGTGACCTGATTTGTGGACAGTTTAATGCTTTTTATTGTGTCGGGTAATAAATATTGACCATATAAAAATAATGCTATTTGTGGAGCACGAATGAGGCCATGCTTATGAGCAATGAAATGCCTTCAATAAAATATGAGGTAATTCAAATTTTCGGGGTGAATACAACTTGTTCATCTTGAACAAGCGAGCTGCAATCACTTCATTAAAAGTTTATGTGATTTGAATTATGATAATTGAAACCATTAGGTGTTACCAACGACCAATCAAAAAAAAAAAAAGAAAAAAAATCCTTGCCACCCCTTAATGTGACTTGCAACCCCTAAAGTTGGTTGGTTTCTTTATAGGTGTTTGACAACTCGGGAGATAATTTATTTACACCTAAGCGTTAAATAACATATGTACACAGCACAGGCGCTTTTAATTCAGCACTACGGGGAGTCGTAGTCGACTTCGCCAGTCCTGGAATCTGTTTCTTCAAAGCGGCCCATGTCCGCCTTGTACAGAATGCGATTAATGTGAAACTGGACGGTGTTCCTTGTGCGGGCGGAGTATTTGCTTAATTTGTTGCCGAGATAGCGGAGGAAGTAGTCCTCGTCCCCGGAAGAATTTGGAGCACCAACAGATGGCCCTCGAGCTGGAGACTTGGCACGAGAAGTGGTGGATGTGGGTGCCACACTGGCGCTGGACTCGGTAGTGGTCGTAGTCTTAGCCAGAGATACCTTGAGTGCCTCCAGCTCCATGGCCGCGGAGTTTGTCCACTGATACTCCTCATCTGGTATCTCCGATTTTCCAATAAAGACGTTCTCGAACTGACTGTCTGTGGCGTTGTTCTCTTCATCGTTCATCATCACCATGGTTTCCATGGCATTATCCTGAAAAAGAATGGCAATTTAGCTTGGTTTTTGTGATTCTTGAGCTGTATATTTTGAGCTTCAGCTAGTTGAAGCTCGGAATTTGAATAGACTGCGCAATTGGTTTTGTATGCACCTTGGAAATTGAAGTCTTCTTTCGTGTCGATGGATATTGCCACTTAGAGGCTAGTACTTTCTTGTTCGAAATGACTGCGTCTTTGTTGGCCTGCTGCTGGGCAAGTGCTGCACGGATTACTCGTTTCTCGTCGAGCACACTCTCGTAGGCATCCTCATGCTTGCGCTTCAGGTGCCGCATCAGATTCTCGGAGTGGCGACCTGCCATGTCGAAGTGGCACATTTTGCAGGTACTTTTCCGCGTCCTTTCGCTATAGATGAAGTGCTTGGACACCGGGTTCGGGTACTTTTTAGACATTGTTCCGGACTACGGCTAACTGCGGTTCAGCTTTCGGTTCTGGGGTGCACCGTACTCGAGTTACGGCTGCCGGTTACTAACTCACATTCTCGCTCCGCTCCAGCGACAGTCAACGTAAAAAACCGCTCTCCGAACCAAAGAACGTGAGCGCGGTTCGGAGAGGAGCGGTTCAGAGAGCTGAAAAGAGTTGCAAATCAGCTACAGTCAAAGTAAAAAACCGTTCTCTGAACCAAAGAGCATGAGAGTGGCTTGGAGAGGAGCGGTTCAGAGAGCTGAGAAGAGCGGAAAACCAGCGTGCGAGCGGTTCGGAGAGGAGCGGTTCAGAGAGCTGAAAACGAGCAAACCACCATCGAATCCGATTGCGGTTTCACGGGCAAACACACAGATACGCCGAACCGGTCGCAAACGGTTCTGTTCGCTTGATAATGATTTAAATTTAGTGCTTTGACTGCGGTTCAGCAGCTGAGAGCGGTCCGTTTATGCGACAGCAAGTTATCAGGCTGAAGTTCTAAATTCCATTACTCAACTTATCTAAATCGGATTTTAAAGTGGCATACCTCTAAATGTTTCTGGCGCAATTCTCTAAAAATCTGCATTCAAATTTGGAAATTTATTTTTTTTTCATATTTTTGTAATTTTTTTGATGTATGATGTAGAAATTCGAAAAAATTAAAAAACGTCCCAGGACTGAACTTCTAATCTCCATAACTCAACTTATATTGATCGGATTTTAAAGTGGCATACCTCTAAATGTTTCTTGCGCAATTCTCTAAAAATCTGCATTCAAATTGGGAAATTTTTTTTTTTTTCATATTTTTGTAATTTTTTTGATGTATGATGTTGTAGAAATTCGAAAAAATTAAAAAACGTCCCAAGACTGAACTTCTAATCTCCATAACTCAACTTATATTGATCGGATTTTAAAGTGGCATACCTCTAAATGTTTCTGGCGCAATTCTCTAAAAATCTGCATTCAAATTTGGAAATTTTTTTTTTTTTCATATTTTTGTAATTTTTTTGATGTATGATGTTGTAGAAATTCGAAAAAATTAAAAAACGTCCCAAGGCTGAACTTCTAATCTCCATAACTCAACTTATATTAATCGGATTTTAAAGTGGCATACCTCTAAATGTTTCTGGCGCAATTCTCTAAAAATCTGCATTCAAATTTGGAAATTTTTTTTTTTTTCATATTTTTGTAATTTTTTTGATGTACGATGTTGTAGAAATTCGAAAAAATTAAAAAACGTCCCAAGACTGAACTTCTAATCTCCATAACTCAACATATATTCATCGGATTTTAAAGTGGAATACCTCTAAATGTTTCTGGCGCAATTCTCTAAAAATCTGCATTCAAATTTGGAAATTTTTTTTTTTTTCATATTTTTGTAATTTTTTTGATGTATGATGTTGTAGAAATTCGAAAAAATTAAAAAACGTCCCAAGACTGAACTTCTAATCTCCATAACTCAACTTATATTGATCGGATTTTAAAGTGGCATACCTCTAAATGTTTCTTGCGCAATTCTCTAAAAATCTGCATTCAAATTTGGAAATTTATTTTTTTTTCATATTTTTGTAATTTTTTTGATGTATGATGTTGTAGAAATTCGAAAAAATTAAAAAACGTCCCAAGGCTGAAGTTCTAATCTCCATAACTCAACTTATATTAATCGGATTTTAAAGTGGCATACCTCTAAATGTTTCTTGCGCAATTCTCTAAAAATCTGCATTCAAATTTGGAAAAATTTTTTTTTTTCATATTTTTGTAATTTTTTTGATGTATGATGTAGAACTTCAAAAAAAATTAAGAAACGTCCCAAGGCTGAACTTCTAATCTCCATAACTCAACTTATATTAATCGGATTTTAAAGTGGCATACCTCTAAATGTTTCTGGCGCAATTCTCTAAAAATCTGCATTCAAATTTGGAAATTTTTTTTTTTTCATATTTTTGTAATTTTTTTAATGTATGATGTTGTAGAAATTCGAAAAAATTAAAAAACGTCCCAAGGCTGAACTTCTAATCTCCATAACTCAACTTATATTAATCGGAGTTTGAAGTGGCATACCTCTAAATGTTTCTTGCGCAATTCTCTAAAAATCTGCATTCAAATTTGGAAAAATTTTTTTTTTCATATTTTTGTAATTTTTTTGATGTATGATGTAGAAATTCGAAAAAATTAAAAAACGTCCCAAGGCTGAACTTCTAATCTCCATAACTCAACTTATATTAATCGGATTTTAAAGTGGCATACCTCTAAATGTTTCTGGCGCAATTCTCTAAAAATCTGCATTCAAATTTGGAAAAATTTTTTTTTTTCATATTTTTGTAATTTTTTTGATGTATGATGTAGAACTTCAAAAAAAATTAAGAAACGTCCCAAGGCTGAACTTCTAATCTCCATAACTCAACTTATATTAATCGGATTTTAAAGTGGCATACCTCTAAATGTTTCTGGCGCAATTCTCTAAAAATCTGCATTCAAATTTGGAAATTTTTTTTTTTTTCATATTTTTGTAATTTTTTTGATGTATGATGTAGAAATTCGAAAAAATTAAAAAACGTCCCAAGGCTGAACTTCTAATCTCCATAACTCAACTTATATTAATCGGATTTTAAAGTGGCATACCTCTAAATGTTTCTTGCGCAATTCTCTAAAAATCTGCATTCAAATTTGGAAAAATTTTTTTTTTTCATATTTTTGTAATTTTTTTAATGTATGATGTTGTAGAAATTCGAAAAAATTAAAAAACGTCCCAAGGCTGAACTTCTAATCTCCATAACTCAACTTATATTAATCGGAGTTTGAAGTGGCATACCTCTAAATGTTTCTTGCGCAATTCTCTAAAAATCTGCATTCAAATTTGGAAAAATTTTTTTTTTCATATTTTTGTAATTTTTTTGATGTATGATGTAGAAATTCGAAAAAATTAAAAAACGTCCCAAGGCTGAACTTCTAATCTCCATAACTCAACTTATATTAATCGGATTTTAAAGTGGCATACCTCTAAATGTTTCTGGCGCAATTCTCTAAAAATCTGCATTCAAATTTAATAATTTTTTTTTTTAATTTTTTTGATATATGATGTAGAAATTCGAAAAAATTAAAAAACGTCCCAAGGCTGAACTTCTAATCTCCATAACTCAACTTATATTAATCGGATTTTAAAGTGGCATACCTCTAAATGTTTCTGGCGCAATTCTCTAAAAATCTGCATTCAAATTTGGAAAAATTTTTTTTTTTCATATTTTTGTAATTTTTTTGATGTATGATGTAGAACTTCAAAAAAAATTAAGAAACGTCCCAAGGCTGAACTTCTAATCTCCATAACTCAACTTATATTAATCGGATTTTAAAGTGGCATACCTCTAAATGTTTCTGGCGCAATTCTCTAAAAATCTGCATTCAAATTTGGAAATTTTTTTTTTTTCATATTTTTGTAATTTTTTTAATGTATGATGTTGTAGAAATTCGAAAAAATTAAAAAACGTCCCAAGGCTGAACTTCTAATCTCCATAACTCAACTTATATTAATCGGATTTTAAAGTGGCATACCTCTAAATGTTTCTGGCGCAATTCTCTAAAAATCTGCATTCAAATTTAATAATTTTTTTTTTTTAATTTTTTTGATATATGATGTTGTAGAAATTCGAAAAAATTAAAAAACGTCCCAAGGCTGAAGTTCTAATCTCCATAACTCAACTTATATTAATCGGATTTTAAAGTGGCATACCTCTAAATGTTTCTGGCGCAATTCTCTAAAAATCTGCATTCAAATTTGGAAATTTATTTTTTTTTAATTTTTTTGATATATGAAGAAATAGAAATTCGAAAAAATCAAAAAATGTCCTAAGGCCGAACTTCTAATCTCCATAACTGAACTAATCTAAATCGGACTAACCCCCAATTTCTACCGATATTCCAGAAAATGTTGAAATTTCTCGTTTGCACTTCCACTAGCTGAGTAACGGGTATCTGATAGTCGGGGAACTCGACTATAGCATTCTGTCTTGTGCGAGGGAGAGGGGCTAGAAAGAGAGGGCGCGAGAGTGCGTGTTGCAGCAACGCTGCTAAATGTTCCACAGCTGCTGGAGATGCAGTATTTTACCCTTGTTACTTGCGCTGCGAGTGGCTTTCTGGTGGTTATTACTGCTGTTATAGCTACAGTCAAGCGTGCCACAATTCGATCTGGCTCTGTTCCCAATTCAATGCCATACAGCCGCTGGAACCTTTCGGTATCTTTCAGATACATCCAAACTCTGGCTAACTTTGGTAATTGATGTTCGTAAAGGGCAGTGGACAGTCCACTGTTAGTTTATATCGGATTGCTAAGGAGTGCTGAGGTATCAGGACTAAATTGCAACGCTTACGATGCATTATGGGCCTTTTTTCAAAGGCGATGGCGAGCATACTTAACTCTAGAAATGATGGTTATTCCAAAATATACATCTATTCTCAACAAATACCAACTTTATGGGGTTAGCTTACGGCAGCACTTCGTGTGCGTGTTTTGTGTGCCAAAGTTTTTTTGCTTCTGCATTCAACGCTTTGAATGAAGGGAGGGCTTCATGCGGGTTGTGGGATTGCCGCAATGTTCCCTTTTCCCAATTTAATTTTTAACACACACTGGTAACTGTAGAACAGCAGTTTCTCTGCTTACCACTCGGGGCAACTAGAGTTAATTTTTTTTTGTGAAAAACTTCATCTGTTTGCTGTACACATATGCAGGTGCAGAATTTTGCATTTTCTGCTAGGTGTTTGCGCAAAAAGTTGGTAAATATAAATGAATGCTTTAGTGTGTATATGCTTTTTGATATTTATTTGTTTTTTGTTTTGGTTCGTGTGCGGTCTGGAGTTCATTGCGAAATTTGTCAGCTCCAGCTGGAGATACCACAATTTTTCTAGTTTTCAAAATTCGTACTACTTGGCAGCACTTAAAATGGTCACACTGCGCTTCCTGGCTCCTCGCAGGATTGTCGACTATTGTCGTCGTCTGCTGAGCACGGACTTGGTCACCGCACTCCGTCCGTTCTACCAGGCCATTCAGACGGATAGCCTCGCTCACAATCCGGCTGAGAAGCGGGTCAACGAGGAGTCACTGCGTCTGCTCTGCTCCCACCTGGAATCCCTGAGTGGGACATCGGGTAGTTGTCTACCGCCCGATGGCCAGTTGGAGTTCTACATACCCTCGGGCTCGGAGGCGGCCGGTGGTCAGGTGGTTAGTCGATTGGTGAGGGTGCAGGTGGACCGGAGTCTGCTGGATCCCAGGGCGGTGATTAGGCAGATTCTGAGGTCCTGCAAGCTGCTGCCGAAGGACAAGGAGCAGGAGCAGGAGCAAATAAAGCGGGTAAAAGCGCATGAATATTTTTAGGTTCGGTAGTAATTCGAAACCAAAAAGTTATTTTACGGCGTAGTTTTGCACACCCATACATGAGGCTTCTTCGACTTGTTGCAAACATATAGATTTCATACTATCCGTGCAACCCTTTCCTTCCTCGCAGGGCCAGGAGATGGAAAAGGAGCTCGGAAAAGTGCTGAGAAAGGAGCCGGTGAGGGAAAGGGTGAGACCGCCCCAGGCGCCAGTGCAGAAGAACTTGAGTGCCCTGAGGGAGCTGTTTAGGGATGCCCAACGGGAGCACTCCCTGGAAACCTGGATGCGTCAGGCCCTGGCACGTTCCCAGGCCTCGGAAGTCACGACCCTGCGCAGCAAAATCGAGGGCATCGAAGGCGCCTTGGTCCAGTTGCTGGGCATACGGGGAACGCGCTACGATTGCGGCTGCAACATGGAACGCTATCACGACTGCCTCAGCAGCCTCAAGGGTTTGGCCGAGGATCCCAAGGTCACCGCACACCTGGGTGCCCTTCGGAATCGGTTCGTGGTCTTTGCACCGTACACTGGCATTAGTTTGGAGGGCGATGTGATGCTCTTTTCGGGCGACTCCCCCTCGGGATGGCTGGCCTTCCTCGCCGAGATGCGCTTGCACGAGGAGCAACTGCGGCTGGTGCCCCTGTACGAGAAAGCCCTGTCTGCTGTGCTCCTGGGCATCCGGATAGAGAGGCGTCGGGTGCCGGAGCCGGGCTGTGAGGCACGTGCCTATGCGGGCAGTTTGAGGCGCGTCATCCGGGCGGTCAGCGAGCACCTGAAGCTGGAGGAGAGTGTCCAAGAGCTGCCGGCATCGCTGCAGGACCATCAGCTGGCCATTGTGCCGGACAGCGATACACCGAAGGTCAGCCAAACGGGTCTCTTCTTGGCCCCCGCCTCCTGCTCCGGCCCCGATCTGGTGGAGTTCATATGCCGCAACTTGGACGTGGCCAGTGGGCGATTCAGTCGCTATCGCAGGGACATCCAGGTGGAGCGGCAGTTGTGGCGACAGTGCCAGGAGGAACTGGGCCTGCAGCGACTCAGCAAGGACGACTCCGTAACGCCGGACAAAATGGTCCTGGCCATACGGCATTTGCTTCAGAGTGGCGTCAAATCCTGTCGCGGTCTCAGTCTGCACATCACGAACTATTGGTCAGTGCCCACCGATGGCATCGTCTGCATTCCCTGGGACTTCATGTCCCGCGAGAAGTAGCGAGTCCCGTTGAGTTGTGCCACTGAAATTGCATAGATTGGTAGATAAATTGATAAGTTTTGGCTTATGCTTGAATGTTCAACCTTTTGGTTTTATGCTTTTTATTTCTACTTGAGTCTAAGTTGAGCCTCCTGTTTTGGCTACGCTCCTGATCGATTGCAATTGTTTATTTACTACTTCGGTTGATCCTGGTTATTTGATTGTTCTGTGTTTCTGAGTCAGCTCAAATCATTGTTTATTCAGGTAATTTTTATTGTGCGCCCTTGGGTTTGGGTTGATATTTTGCTACATTAGGCTTTCCAGCTGGATTTCCTTCTTGGTTCATTACATTCCTTGGGCTTTTTGGGGCAAACTAAATGCATAAATAGACGGCATTCTGCTAAGAGAGCACACAAACAGGACTCAACCAGAGTACGCAACTCTTGCCTGGCTGACTGGCATTTTCCTGTACTTTTCTGGGGTTGAACGTGTCCCTGTGCGACTTCTGTTGACACTACCCACTTGCAGCCATCGCATCCCTGCAGATAGAGAAAAGCTATCGGAGAGCTGGTTATCCTGATTAGCAGGATATACGAACGCTTGTTTCAGTGACTGCCAGAGTGGAGCATTTAAGCGCTTAGTAGGTCAGCTAGAACTTATTTTACCTCGTTGTTGAAACTAAGAGCATTTTTAGTACTGCGCTTGCTGCTGCGAATTTTTCGCTGTGCACGACGACCCTTTGAGCTATGTTTTCCCTTGCAACCCCGTCAAGGGGCGAGTGGAATGGGGAGTGGAATGGTCGGGGTTGGGAGGGGTCGAAGTCCCGGTGCCCCGCACATTGTGCGAAATTTCTGTAAGATTTAGCTAATGTTCCATGGCTTCGCTCCATCAATGTCGAGCGATGGGCATGGGGATGGAACTGCAGACCCAAGCCCGGCGATGTTTGTCTGGTGTCGCTTATCCTTCGTGGCCTTCCCCCAACCCACTTCAGGACCTCTCGATTTCCAGACGTTGTCATCCACCTCCGCCGACCCACATTGTGCGTTGAGTGTCCACTGGGCGGAGAGTCCTTTTCCGTTTTCATTTGCCATAAGGCATCGTGTATAATTTTCAAATACGGAGGATCTTTCCCGTACAGGAAACATAAACACATGCTTATACCGCTTCCGGTTGAGCAGCTATCTGTATGCACAGAATATTAGAGCCGAATCGAAGCAATCGTTAATTTCAATGCGAAATGGTACAATCAAGTAGGTCATGGACTATCCAAATCCAACTGTCAAAGCCCAGTGGCTCGGAGTCGGCCCATTCCAGCTCAGTTACAGTTCTGTTCTCATCCAGAGCACACCTCCCAGTACTACTAAATTTCTCTCGCTTTTCAGTTTCGTTCGACATATTCAATATAATGGCCAGGGCTAAACTAAACCAGTGGGTGGTACAACTGCGCGACGTTGGCAAGGTCCTGCGATGCAACTTGCCCATAATGGACAAGGCCAATTGGGTTCTGTCCAGGATTCAGGTGAGTGCTAATCCATGGTGGCAAGAATTCGCGTTCAATTTAAAACCAGAAACCACCGTATCCCCTATCCCCAAGCAGAGCATCAGGAAACCTCTACCCCTAACATCGTCCAAGTGCCCGCCCAATGCCACTGAGCCCTCAAATTCCAAAGCAAATATCAGTGGGCGATCCCATGGTTCCGAGTATCACAACTAGCAAGATCAAAATGGCTTTATCAGCCGAGCCCAATTCAGGCATAAATTGAAAATTCTTAGCGCATGCGAATTTTACTAACTGATTAATCGAATAGCCTTGAACCCGGTTATGTAGAAATCAGCACAGCTATTTCATTATCACGGACTTCCAAAGTTCTGCCAAATTATTTATCGTAGCAAAATGCGAATGCTGCATTTGTACTAGACATTTTGTCACGCTCTTTTAGTCTAAAGCATTATGAAACTGCAAATCAATAAACATTTGTACCATTTTTTTACTAAAACCCGAAGCAAAGGACGGTTCATTCGATTTTTCATTTTCCTGAGCGAGGAAGCCGAGCACACTTGTCTCCATGGAGATTTCCAGCTGAAAATGGGTTAAGGGTGTCGAGGGATACTCACTGCCATGTGTGGCTGATTTGCGCCATCATTAAAATCATCATCGTCAGCGTTTGTTATCTAATTTGCAGTCATCTCATCACCATTTGACCCCATACTCGAATACTCGACGCTGTTCAGCCTGCGAGTGTCCTTTGCAAAGGTTTTACGCCTGCCTTTCAATTTAAATGGGGTGGCCAATGTCCAATGGCCATTCGCAAGGGGTGCTTGTTGAATGTGAATGTTGAATGGCCCAAACTGGAGACCCCGAAACCCTGGCAATCTCTTCGAGTGTCAATCTGAATAGATTTCGCAGTGCGAACTTGTGTGGCCCACAATGAAGGGGTCTAATGAAGGGGGTGAATGGGTTCGTCTTGGTAAATGCCCAAAAATTGGAGCGGAAAATGACAAAATGCCAGCTAGTTTTGAATCCATGTGACAGATACTACTACAGAATCTTACTACTTTTACTCGACTCTCGCTCATTTCGAATTTCTTTTATTGTACAGAATTGAGTTAGTGTATAGTTAAATTAGTAATATATACTTAGTAAACTCTAGGGAAGACTGCTGCTTGCGCTTCATATCTTAGGGATTACGAATGATGGAGTGGTGTGGAGTGGGTTGCAGTGGAGGGGTGTGGTGGAGGTGGGTGGTGGGTGGTGGCTGGTGGCTGGTGGGTGTGGCTACTACATCATCCCTTGCAGTACTGCAAGAGCTCCCTGTAGGTGCATCCACCTGGCTTGCAGCACAAATCGGTCACGTTCGGCATGTCGCGCTTCCTGCGCTTCCCAAAACTGTTGGCTGCGGAGGAGATGCGTATAGGTCAGAGGTCGTTTAAGAATTCAATAATCAAAGGTTAAGCGTTTGACTTACGAAAAACATCGCCGAGAGCCACCGTTCCGCCCACGCATATCTTCTGTATCAAATCGCTGAGGCCATTGGAGCAAATCGTGCGTCTCTGCTCGTATTCCACAGGTGCGAGTGGACTGCCCGCCACCTGGGGCACCCAACTGCTGATCAGCGCCGCCACAGCGAGCACGGTGGCCAGGACTAGCAGGACTTTGGTGGTCGCCACTTCGGGAATCATCTGCAATGGGCCCAGATTGTTAGATGTCACACATGTGTATGGCCAGCCTTGTGAGGCAAGTGTCCATATGGAGCAGCCCAAGCCCGAAGCCCCCAAAACCTGTTTGGCCCCGCCAAAGGACACAGTTCCTCGGAACCGAGCAGATAACTCCCCACTCTCTTCCGCCTCGCACACGCGTCTGGGGTTTCTTGGCTGGGTCCCTTATCAGCATTTGCGCTCAAATATTATTGTATTTTCCATTCGATTCGATTCGATTCGATTCGATTCTGTTATTGTTTGTGTCTGGGCTGGCCAGGAAATATATTTACATAAACTTCAGTGTTTAAAAATAACCCACCGATTTGCCGCCTTGCTGGGCTCCCCACTTATCATTTGGAACATGAGTTCTTTTTATACACAATCAGAGAGTCGAAGTGACTCTGGTCGTGGGGCATATGCCCCATGTGGCTTGTGTTTCTGTTTCTGTTTCAGTTTCAGTTTCAGTCTCTGTTTGTGTTATTGTTATTGTTTGCTTTTATGACTCTACTTTGGAAACTCGGTTTCCAGCCACACTCTATATATAGTATGTGGTTCAATGTTTTTCCACTTCTGTCGCTTTCGGTTTTTCACAGCGATATACGAGTACATGGCTGTGTTGTATGTACACATAGATGTATGTAAATGTCGCACACCACTTGGCTGATTTCGGCTGTTTGGTTGGTTGGTTGGTTGGGTGTTTTGTTTGTTTGTTTGTTTTCATTTCCTTGGGCAGAAGCGATCCCGGCTCGCGTTTTGTTTCTATCGTGATAAGAATCGAGAAGAGGTTAAGGCTGTCTTTGTGTCAATCTAGCGATTGGCTGGTTCAAGAGCTTGTGATCTTACACTTCTTACATCCTTGAAGGGCTGCGTTCGTACAGCCCACATTGTAATCTTCTGCGACTTTCCTACACGTATAGCAATAGATCCTTGGGGATTCCAGGGGAAATGCGTTATGTTCTTGTTTTTCTTGAAAGTCGCGCGAGAAACAAGTGGGATAAGAAAGTTCTGGGAGCCGCACGATAATCGTCTTATGCTGAACTGACTCTAAACGTGTTTCTTAGAAAATCCGTTTCTATATAGTAACATGATTAATACCCCCCGATTTTCCACTGAGACATAACCATATGAATACAATCTAAACCATTTGCCATACATAAACTTACGTTTGCATGCCGTTTGATCCTTGTTTTTGCCGTATCAATTAGTTTCCTCAGTGGTCCACGATGACGAATGACTAAGGTGCTTGTGATATTTGGGTTTTGTTTGATTTCGTTGACTTTTTATAGTGCTTGGTTTGCTGTTTTGTGTCTCTTTTGCTCCGGCGCTTCCTTTCCTTTTTTGTCTTTAGAGTTTCTATCCGATTATCACTTGCTTAAGGAACTTTCTTTTTTGCTAATTTGCAGATTTTCTTTTGCGATCACACAGTTTCAAAATCACAATCAATTGACGAAAAAAACAAAACAAAGCGACTAAAAATAAGGGTTAACTATCTTTTCTGGTTTTCTGGTGGGATTTGTTTGGGTTGTTCAAGGCTTCTGGGGTTATTACGTGCAAAAAAAAATAATTCAAATGGCGAATTGATAAATATCCGTGAGGCTTGCGATTGAGGATCGGATCGATCAATGTCCTTTTAAAATCGTTTGGCGTTCGGAGCGTGGAAAATCGAGCAAGTGGTTAACTTCTGATGCGGCTGCTGCCTTTTCGACTGCTGTTGCGGCTGCTGCGTTCTCTGCTGCTGCTGCGTCCGCCAGTTGTTGTTGCATCGCGTGAAGTATTGTGGCAGGAACAGAAGAGTGCGGGTATACGTCTCGGACCGCAGGAGAAGGAGTGAGTGAGTGAGTGAGTGAGTGAGTAAGTGTGTGAGTGGAGTGAGTGAGTGAGAGGGCAGTCGACTGAGTATGCGAATTGTAGCGGTATTCCGCTGACGTTGCGACTGGCTTGGAATTGGAAACGCTTTTGGAAGCTGACCGCTTGGGTGCTGGAACGTAAAGCTGCCGTTTTCTTCGGAGTATCTCGTATTCCAATCTCCCTCTCCCTCCCTCTGCCACTGCCACTGCCGCTGTCTCTTTCACTCTCACTGTGCGCTCATGTGCCGCTGGGCTGGCTCTCTCTATCTCGCTCCCTCTCTCTCTCACACTCTGCACGTCCTTATCTCTATCTCTTTCTCCGGGAGAGAGTAGAATCCGAATCCGAATCCGATTCCCGAATCCGAATGCAACAGCTGTTTGATACGCTCTCCAATTGTTTGCTGTTGTTTGCGCTTGTTTATTTTTAGACCACCAGTTGGGATCTATAATTAGATGGTGCCTTATCGCCACCACCCTCCCTCGCGACTTTCTTCCACCACTTTCATTCACTTCCACCCGTTCTTCGCTCGAAAGAACGTGCCCCGCTTCCTCACTTCCAGTCGCTGGATCTTGCACTTTTGATTGCACTCGTCACGAACTCTACTCGCTCCTTTTTTTGCCTGGACCGTTCTTCGCACTGACTTTCTTCCGCTTTGCACGCTTTTAAGTGCACTCTTAGCGAATTCTTCGCTCGCTCGGAAGAACGTTCTTCGTTGTTTCACAGCCGAATTGGAAAAGAACCGTTGCCGCGACGCCAGCGCAAAACGAAGTCTCACTTTACGCGCGTGCGAGTGAGAGGGCAAGATGCAGCGAATGCGTAGCACGTGGACTGCAGGTGGAAGAGCGAGCGAGATGGCAGCCACTGGAAGCAAAGTCCAGTGTCTTGCGAAAAGGAAAACACAAAAAAAAAACACAGTAAGCGCAAACAAATGCTTAAAATTAAACAATTTGCCGGCCATGACACATTCAATCAACTTTGGGTCACCGTGGGGCCGAGTGTTTGCGGGTGTGTGAGTGTGTTTGTGTGCGGGTGTGCGAGTGTGCGAGTGTTTGAGAGCATTAATACAGGCCAACGTCAGTACGCCGAACTTTTGTGGGTCAAGATGTACGGGCTGCCCAGAGAACGCCACTTCAGATCGTTTATCCAAAGTAATAACTTCATGCCCACTGCTTTTCTCCCCATTACCCTAAATCTAAACTCCAATTGCTTAAGCTTCGCCTAGAGGCAATAGTACAAAACTAGTCATACATACATATGTACATATGTATGTATATCAGCACTATCAGCCGGTTCCCGTTTTCGCTAGCATTGCGTTTTTGATTGTTGACATCCTGCTGGTGAGTTTGCAAATTTAGGGAACGCGATTATCGCACAATATATTCATCGGAAAATGAGTCAGATGGCGGAATGTCGGGAAATCGAGGCTCCCAAATATAGCAGGGGATGCTGATAGTTCGGCTTAGGAATGTCGGACTGTATAAGCATACAATGGAATAATCATATTAATAAGATCGCCTTTGAACAAAGTACACACACAATCACCGCATGTGTGGGTGTGCATGTGCGTGTGTGTGTGTGTGTGTGTGTGTGACAAATGCACACAGCAACAATACACAGCACAACAACAATAAATAGAGTGAATCCATCAGTGGAAAAGCAGCATCCAGTCCACGCTCCATATACAAATGTACGTATGTACATGTGTATGCACTTGTTGATTTTCATTTTCCTTATTAACGCTGCCGCCTCGTCAAAGCGACAAAGTTCACATCGCTTAGATGACTCCAAACTACATACGTACATATGTACATACACAACTATTTGATTCACGTGGTTTCCGCAACCCTTGCCCCCAATTTTCACGAGTTTAACTGACATTTGGCCAAAACGTTGATTGCTGTTGCTTGCGGGATTGATTACCTTTTGCAAAACTGCACTTGGCGATTTCCCAATCTATTTGTTAATCAATAATTGGAGATAGAAGCAGTTTACATAGGTGCGAAACTCTGGGAGTACCCTACCCTATATACGACCAGATATACCCTGTTTACGGGGTCTTGGGCTTCGAGTGGCTTGGCTTGGCTTGCAGATAATGATTCGGCGATAAGCTTGTTGATGTTTTGTTGCTGGAACTGCGACTGCGACTGCATGAAGATGAAGACGAAGAACGGAAGCCGATGGGGCAGCCCAAAAGGGGGCGGTACGGGTCAGTGGGCGCGCGGGGGGCGGTACGTTGGGAACGCCCGTCCGTCAGTGAAAAATCCGTAAACAACGCCAACGTGAATTCGTCGTGATCTAGTTTCAATTCAAAGTAAAAGATCCCTATTTTTAGCATTACTCTTGGCACTTCGACGGGGAAAACAACAACAGAGCGGTGGAGAAAGAGACAGCGAGAGAGGGAGAGAGCGAGAGAGATGAGTAAGGCGAGAAGGAGACGGCGCATAGCGATAGGGGCAGGGGGCACTGTGTGCTAAGTCATCGCGGTAGATAAGCCAAGACTTGTACACACTGAGAGAAATAGCACGAAAGTACCTATCCAAATTTGCCACATATCAATGTACATGTGTGATTTCAATCCTTTGATCCTTTGAACAACCATGGGCGCACACACTTGCAGCTGCTATCTTGCTGCCAAACTTCGGCCTGGCATTTTCTCCGTGTGTAGCCGTGCCATCTGGTTGTTTTGGGGAGGGACTACCGGAGGCGGCGATTGAAAATGGGCGTGTGTATTGTGTATTGGAGGATCGGCGAGATCGGGACCGAGCGTTCGGATCCCAGTGGCTTGGGCAATACGCAATACGCAATGCGGGGCAGAGTCCAAGGTGGGCAGACCCGCCACGGGCTGCATGCCACGTCAGGGTCAACGCTTCGAATGGCTAGTATGCCTAAATATGCATACCCCTTTTTCAGCTTGGAAAACCGCTGCTGAATCATGACTAGCAAAGCAGATGCGCTGCGATTTGCCCAATTGATTTGCCCAAGACAGGTGATTGGATATGGGTATTTTGGATAAACCGATCCTAACTGTGAGCGGCGAAAGCGCCCAGAGCGGCCCCTTGGTTTTTTTCCTCTAGCCAGTGCTGCAGATAAGCCGCAAGTGGGGGGCGCCTCAGGTCTGCCTCCCACTACAAGCACCAGAACAGCCCAGCTCCCAGCCCCCAGTCCCCCATCCGCCAATCCCCCGAGCCCCCACTTCCCACGCGGCAGCGAATATTGTTTACTTGTGCTAAAATTGGATCTTCATTGATTGACATCTGCGATCGGGCGCCAACGCCAAGACATCGCGAATCTATAGCTCACAGCTCACAGCTCCCAGCTCCCAGCTCGCATTTCGCAGCACGAAGCTGTTGCTCAGACGCAGATTATTGACCCAGAAGCGTGGAGGAGGTTTGTTGTTGATACCAAAAGCCTAGACAGCGGCGACAACAGTCTGCAATCGCTGTGTACGGGCAAAGGGAAACAAGTGCAATAACAATTCAAATGCCCATTCTAGCGAATTGAACTTTGCAATTAAGCAGCAAGTTCCATCGAACTGGCTCTAATGCGAAATTCCTGAATGGGGGAGTTCCTCATAAAATGCTGCAGTGTATTTCCGTAATGAATGAATTAAAATGAATTGTTGATGCAGCGAAATTATGTTTTATTGCTGCACAATACGCGCAGTTTAGCTTAAATTGTAACTTGGATTTCGCACTAACTTTAACTACCCAAAAGTAACTAACACTTTGTGTGCTGACTCTGAGTAATTAAAGCTGCGGTTGCCTGAGCATGCATAAATGAATTAATAAATGAATAAATAAGTAAAATGGTATCCGCAAGGGCTGATTTACAAACTTGCCCTGCGTGTAAGTTGGTAACACACCTTTGCATATTTGATGTCCATTTCAATTCGCACTTAAATATTCAAGAATCTGTTCTTTTTTCCTCCTTCTTTTTTTCTTTTTTCACTGGCGTGTCGAGCCAAAAAAACAGCTCACGAAATTATCGCCCGATGTCAATAAACTGTCGCCAACGACCCCAAAAAGGCAACAACAATCGCATGTTGCGCTGTTGGCTGATGCTGTGGGTGGTGGGTGGCGAAGTGGGTGGTGGGTGGTGGTTGGCGAAGTGGGTGCTTGCTGTTTGGGATGAAGAGCGTAGGGCAACAATCGAGAGTAGCAGCCACCAGCGGGCATAGACACACATTTGTTGGGCATAGTTCTGGTTGGCCTGTACTTTGGGGCGGCAGGTTGGTTGATTTGGTTGCTTTTCCCAGCTGCCAATGAACTGCAATCGGCTGGGCGGCCTCAAGGTCAACGGTTGGCACACAAAACTCTCTGGTTCAAGGAGTGCTGAACTGGATTTGAACCCGTCGAAGCGGCGAGCAAGCAAAGGGACCTTGAACTCAGTTCAACACCGAAAGTGGACAGTCAACTAGGGTCTCAAAGTGATTTCCTTAATTCAGCCCATAAATTCAATTTCTAAATTTATAAACCGAGCACTCAACGTGAGTTGCGGACGCCCAAATAAATAATGAGGTACATCATGAGGTACAGGGCATTTAACCGAATTCGCGGACAAGTAGCAACATCGAATCGAAAGCGAAGAACTAAAATCGCATGGAGAGTGTTGATAAAGTAGCGAGAGGTACATAGGTTAAGGCTGGCATCCTTCGAGGAATTCGCAAGTCTAGGGAGTGGAATTCAGTAGAAGCACTATGAGCTGAAACTGTTTGTTTACGCGGCACTTCAAGGTTGGCTCGATTTCAGTTCATCCGTCAATGAAATAGGAACCACTGACCCACAAATCCCATCTCTAATCTGTTTTTCCCAGAGAGTCAGAGAGTCCGACTTCGCAGCCGTCTTCGTATTCGTAATCTGCGGGGGTCGGCCATCTGGAGTCGGAAATCGGGAGTTGGGGCGACGTCTACCATCCGTCTGGCCGGCTGGTGACCTTGAAACCCCCCACCACACCCCCACCCCTCCCTCTCGCAGTGCCACCAGAAAGTGGCGAGAATATGGGGACTTTGCACCCATCAAAAACGGTGTGTCCCGATGAACTTTCACCCGAGCTTTTCCATTTCCCGTGAAACAGAAGCCAGCGGGCGAATCACTTATACGGCGCGTGGTCCCGACTTGTAAACAGAGTCGAGTTTACTATATGCCCGACTTACTACACCGTCCATTTATACATATATATGTACATATGTATTATGTTTGTACGCAAGTGTGCGATTAGAAGTGCGATTTCAAAATAAATCATTAACCGCATTTCAATCATTTTCATCAATTAATCATTGACCAAAAAGCGAAACGTGAAATACATATATACATATATGCACATATATATATATACACAATTGAAAACAATCTGCGAGTATAAACTGACATCAATTCTGGCGACAGTACGATTCATAGTAGCTGAGTAAAAACAATTCTTGGTTGCTATCTGCTCCCATGATCTTGTCATTTCGAAACGCACTGTTTGTCATGCATATTTTATATAATTATGCGAATTCAGATTGTAAACAATTTTACAAATAGTCGCAATAACAATTAAAGCTGATTTGCTTGCGATTAGAGCTGAACGGCCAGATGATCTATAGTATTCCTCAGTGATTCCTCTTGCCGTTTCACGGGGAAAGAAGGAGCACAAGGGTATCGGTGTGACCCGGTTCCAATCATTCAATCTTGCAATCTGTTCGATTCCCACGTGGCCGCTTTTTTACAATTATTATGGGTAATCTCCACTGCAATCTGAATTAGTTGTTGTTCGGTTCTTTTGCCATCTCAATCAGGGATCCTTTGCAAAGCTTTTATGAACCTAACACAGCAATTCAAAGACCCATCTTAATAAGGATAAGTGATATTTTAAGCGACCAAAAGTGGCCTTTCATTCAAATTTTGCGCCAAGTAGCGCCATCTGTTGGTGATTTGCTGGCACCTGCTACCATAGTCAAGGCTGCCACTTGATTCGAACCCATCGCGGTGTAAGCATCGAGGTTTCTGCCATCTATACCGCCTTCACCTTTAAATATTTAGCTAATCAATATCTTTTTAACCCACGAAAGATATCTCTTAAATCCGCCCGTATAATCGAGATTATTACTAATCCGAAAAGCAAGAAGCGCTAGGCAAATAAACAATTAGCCACGACACGAACCTCGCTTTGCGGAGCACCTGATACCCTTTATCGTTTATCGATTGACCTAGCCGAATCACGCCTCCTGATAACGATTAAACAAAAAGTCGAAATGTAGTAAAACTCGCGGAAAGTAAATAAATTGTTATAACCCAAGTATAATAAAGAGCGGCCAGCAAGTGGCAATACTATTGCGATTGTTGGGCACCCAACAACGGTGCCGGCTGGTCTGGGTGTTATCGGATGATTGGCAGCTCCTTTGGAAAATCCTCAAGTTCAGCTGCTTCTGCACACACTGACCTTCATTATACATACATAGCGTACATACGAGCAGTTTGTGTGTGTGTGCGTGCGCCAGCAAGTGTGTGGGTGCACTGAAAAAAGGTTGGAAAGGATACAAGCGCGAAATCGGTGAAAAACCGGAATATTGCATACCGCAGAGGTCGGAAGAGCCGAAAAATCCCATTAAAAGTCAAGGACGTCATGCTGCCCTCCGCCCACAGAAGTGGATGTGGGTGGCTCACCCATTAAAACTCCACTAAAACGCAAGCGCAGGAGTTTTCCTTCAAGAAGTCAAGGCTTCTTCGTTTTCGGGGTCATGGTCACAGCAGTGTAAAGTATATAGGATAAAGCAACACCATGTCCAGCGAGTCGTCCACCGAAGGCGACAGTGATCTATACGATCCATTGGCCGAGGAGCTGCACAACGTCCAGTTGGTCAAACATGTGACCCGGGAGAATATCGACGCCCTGAATGCCAAGTTTGCCAACCTGCAGGAGCCGCCAGCCATGTACTTAATAGGTGAGTCGTTGTGAGCCCAGCAGAACACTACCTGGGTTCTTGGAAATCCCTCGCCCACCCATAAGCTATTTATAAAATACCCCACTACAGCTAAGTGACATATGTATGTATGTATGCATCTATCTCACGACTTTGATTCTTACCCACAGAATACCAGGAGTTGACCTCCAAGCTCCACGAACTGGAGGCCAAGGAGCAGGAGCTAATGGAGCGACTGAATTCGCAGGACCAGCAGGATCAGCAGGAGGACTCCTCCTTGGTTGAGCGGTTTAAGGAGCAACCCCACTATCAAAATCAAACGCAAATCCTGCAGCAACAACGGCAATTGGCGCGAGTGCACCACGGCAACGATCTAACCGATAGCATGGGCTCTCAGCCGGGCAGCCAATGTGGAACTTTGACCCGTCAGCCGAAGATCCTTTTGAGAGCCCACCTGCCCAATCAACAGCGCACATCAGTGGAGGTAATTTCAGGAGTTCGATTATGTGATGCCCTCATGAAGGCCCTAAAACTCCGGCAACTGACGCCGGATATGTGCGAAGTAAGCACAACTCATTCCGGAAGACATATCATACCCTGGCACACGGATATCGGCACTCTGCATGTGGAGGAGATCTTTGTCAGGCTGCTGGACAAGTTCCCCATTAGGACACACATCAAGCACCAGATCATACGGAAGACCTTCTTCTCATTGGTATTCTGTGAGGGCTGTCGAAGGCTTCTGTTCACTGGGTTCTACTGTAGCCAGTGTAATTTCCGATTCCATCAGAGATGTGCCAATAGAGTGCCCATGCTGTGCCAGCCCTTTCCCATGGATAGCTATTATCAGCTACTGCTGGCCGAGAATCCGGATAATGGCGTTGGTTTCCCCGGCAGAGGCACTGCTGTCCGGTTTAATATGAGCAGCCGTAGTCGCAGTCGACGGTGCAGCAGCAGCGGCAGCAGCAGCAGCTCAAAGCCACCATCTTCATCATCTGGGAACCATCGACAGGGTCGTCCGCCACGGATCAGTCAGGATGATCGATCCAATTCAGCTCCAAATGTGTGTATTAACAACATCCGATCGATCACAAGCGAAGTGCAGCGCAGTTTGATAATGCAGGCTAGGCCTCCTTTGCCAGTGAGTCCGAAGATTTGCTGTTTTATAATTATTTTCTCGCTTAACATATGCTTGCATTTCTTACAGCATCCTTGCACAGATCACTCCAACTCCACGCAAGCGTCGCCCACGAGCACTTTGAAGCATAATCGTCCCAGGGCCAGATCCGCCGATGAGAGCAATAAGAATCTGCTTTTAAGGGACGCCAAAAGCTCCGAGGAAAACTGGGTAAGCTAGAGTGCTAGTGTGGTCACGTATTTACATAAATAATCAAAAATGGTCTATTTCTGCAGAATATTCTGGCGGAGGAGATATTAATTGGGCCCCGCATCGGATCGGGTTCCTTTGGAACCGTTTATCGCGCACATTGGCACGGTCCCGTGGCCGTAAAGACACTCAACGTGAAGACACCGAGTCCCGCCCAGTTGCAGGCTTTTAAGAACGAGGTAGCCATGCTGAAGAAGACGCGCCACTGCAATATCCTCCTCTTTATGGGGTGTGTGTCCAAACCATCGCTAGCAATTGTGACCCAGTGGTGCGAGGGCAGTAGTCTCTACAAGCACGTCCATGTCAGCGAAACCAAGTTTAAGTTGAACACGCTGATCGATATCGGACGTCAGGTGGCCCAGGGCATGGATTACCTGCATGCCAAGAACATCATACACAGGTTCGTTTCGGTATGGCGTTGCAAGCAAGAAATAATTTATATTTTTCATCTTAACAGAGACCTTAAGTCAAACAACATCTTTTTGCACGAAGATCTCTCCGTGAAGATAGGCGACTTCGGATTGGCCACTGCGAAAACTCGATGGTCGGGTGAGAAGCAAGCCAATCAACCCACGGGCAGTATTTTGTGGATGGCACCGGAGGTGATACGCATGCAGGAGCTGAACCCCTACTCCTTCCAATCGGACGTTTATGCCTTTGGTATCGTGATGTACGAACTGTTGGCGGAGTGTTTGCCCTACGGTCATATTAGCAACAAGGATCAGATCCTGTTTATGGTGGGACGAGGACTCCTGCGCCCCGATATGAGTCAAGTGCGCTCGGATGCGCCGCAGGCATTGAAGCGCTTGGCCGAGGACTGCATTAAGTATACACCCAAGGATCGACCGCTCTTTAGGCCGCTGCTCAATATGCTGGAGAATATGCTGCGCACATTGCCCAAAATCCATCGCAGTGCCAGTGAACCGAACTTGACGCAATCCCAGCTGCAAAACGATGAGTTTCTGTATTTGCCCAGCCCGAAAACGCCAGTGAACTTTAACAACTTTCAGTTCTTTGGCAGCGCTGGGAATATTTAGACAGCGACCTGTACCTGTACTTATATCCTGCGTGATCAAAGTGATCCTATTTCTATATATATTTTCGTTTTTGTCCCTCTGTACATAAGCGATTCGCGAAAGGGACGGCTTTGGTTGCCCACCAAAGTGAAAGAGAGATAGATAGAGAGAGAGAAAGAGAGAGATGGGTTGCCTGCCGACCCGGGAGCGAAACTTGCTTCTTTCCTTGGAACTGACAAAGTGCATTTCTGTTACCACAAAACGACTACAAACTGTAAACTAAACTGCAACGCCCATGTGTACATAACTGCATCATAACTTATATACGTTAGGCAAAACTACTGAAACTAAACTAAACTAAACTAGCTGATCGCAATTACATTATACACATTATACTGATACTACAAAAGAAGGTGTTGTTTCTGGAGTTGAGAAGTGATGGTGTGCAGCACGACGAAGAAAATTAAATTCAGGTATTATTTGTTATTTATTCTCATTTACTACTTCTTAGTTTATCGTTATAAGTTGCCCTTTTCTGTACATTTAAACCATACTTATTGATTGGTTCAAAATGTTTTCTTTAAAAACTCACTAAGTTTGAATATGAACGAATCTAAGTATTGCGTCGTCAAGGACAAAAGAGCAGATTATTATTTATGTATTAGGTATTCTATTTACAATGGATATTAAGCGTTTTTAAGTTATGGCACCACCCTATCTTCATAAACATCCGTGCATTTGTGGTATTTTCAGTTGGAAACACAACTGATTCAGTTGGATAAACTTTATTCATTAAGCAACAGAAAGGCGTGATCCGGAGGATCCTAGTGTATCCTAAACATATCTGCTGGCGATGGCCAGGACCTTGGTGTAATCGGCTCCTTTGGCCAGTGTCTTCTCCTTGAGGATGGTTCGCAGGATCGTTGGAATGGGCACATGGATTCGCGTGCCCAGCGGACTGCCATTATCATCGATGAGCACCAGATTGTTGCTATCAAATTTGGGCTGTTTGGGCTTCTGGTTCTGCTTGAGTCCCACGAGGATGCCCTTCTTCATCTGGCCCTTGATGGCCACCAGCACCTTGTCTCCGATGAAGCCGACTCCCCGTTTGTTGTAGACATGAATGCACCTTGGAGGACGGCCCTCGGCCATCGCCTTCTTTCCCAAATCGCTGTTGTCTACCACCCGTAACCGGGCCAATTTCCGGATTTCGCAGCACGCCGGCGTCGTGTGAATCAACTCCTGTCTTTGCTGGCCGCCCAAGGCTCCCGCCATCGGTTGGGCCACTTGTCTAACTGTCTTCAGTATGCGGAGCGCCATTGTTCGCAGGTATTTTTCAGTTCCAAATATACTTAATTCATGAAATTCAAGGGAAGCACAACAAAAATAAATTATACAATTCTTTCTACTCGTGCGACAGTGTTGCCATATCGCCGAGCAAAACATATGGTGCGCTTCGGCACCGTTATCGATGTTACGGCCTAACAGAGCACGCAGCTGTTAAAGGCGGACTATTTGAACATTACTGTTAAAAGGTAAGTTTTTATAAATTGTTTTTATTTTATAAAAGATTGACCCATTAAAATTAGACGATCGACTTTCAACAACGATCAATCCCACTAAGAAAACAAATAGGTATTCTCGTCAGCCTCATATTTTTACCCGCCAAGTGCGGGTGCACAAAGAAAACCACATAAAACTTCTGGTTTTTATTTTATTCAGTTTAATACAATGCCATATATATATACATCACCGCATTAACTGCAGTTGTTTAAAAATAATTTATTAGCATTATTAACTCTCGGTTTTGGGCTAGTTTGTTTCGCTACCGTTTGTTTTTATTTATTTGACACGACTAAGTAGACCAGTCCCATTGGTTAGAAAATTGGTTACTATATTTCACTATGACGTACGAAATATTATATCGGCATAATAACATACATAGATATATATATATATATAGATAAATTTTGCGCTTTTCTTTTTCTTGTTAATTTTTTTTTTTTTTGGGTTCTCTTGTGACCTAATGACTAAAACAAACTTTTTAAAAAACTACATAGTTCATAACAAAAAACTAAGATTAGTTAAAAAAAAATGGGTGGGCGCTTTAAAAGCGCGGGGATGGGGGTGAAAATAAGTTCTACTAAATCTTGGCTTTTTCGAAATTATTTACAAACTCAACACTCAAAATGTACTGTTAACGGTTTATAAAATATATAACTTGTGCGCTGCATCTGTGATTTTCTGCCTGA